TAATGATTGTGTAAACTCATGTCGGGTTTTACGACAATAGAATAACTCCAACTCTCGCATCGTTAAATATTTGAGCTTAACAACTTTAACAAAGTATTACAATAGATATCATAAATATGAATGTTGGTCGTTATTTTAAGAAGTGGGTAGAAATGAAAGGATTTTAAATTGACAACTTTTTACATTTCAATGAAATACCAGTTAAACGTTTCTATCTTCGCTTCTTTCTTTGTATCTTTATTTCATTTTCTCAGTGAAATCAAGTCATGTCTTTTCTCCTCTTTACACGCGATCAAAACGGGACAGTCCATTATTTATGAGCTATTGATAGAAGACGTTAAACACTTTTATCATCTCTAATTTATTTGTTTCTAACCAAATCCACGACCTAAGAACATTTCTCTTCATAATAATTTTAAAATAATTCAGCAGATGATGTTATTTTATTTAATTTATGGCAGCTGGATATTAGGTTACTCGGTTTCCGTCGTTTTATACTGTGCAGCTGAAAAATGGCTCTGCAATCTCGGTCACCATGGCTTCTCGAACATTTCAGGGTTCGAGGAGGTTCCAAAATTTGAATCCCAATTACGAAGAAGAATTCTCACCAGGCAGTGCCGATTCTTCAGGAGGGGGCTGAGTTTATTGCTCGGTTCCTGAGGTGTCCCCAAAAGGGGAAATGCCGAGAGGGCTTGGGTAATATATCTATGGTATTCCCGGTAAACCGACTTTAAACTACGACTACATTCTGTAGCGAAGTGGACGCACTGAAATATACCATCCTTTATCGACCATTTCGCTGGAATCAACGTGCAATATCTGCTCTTATCAGCTTAATCTGATTCTCTCTCGCTCCACTTCTAGCTTCTCTTCTTTCTTCCATTTTCTCACTGAAACCCAGAAATGTCTTTCCCCACTTGCCATGTGATCAAAACGCGGTTTATTATCTATGAGGTATTGGCAGAACGTAACGGTCGTGATAACTAACGAAGTGAGGGACAAACACATTTGCAATAAGATTTTCCAAGCGTAACGTAGATATGGCACAAGGCAGAAAGTAGGGGGCACCAAGTGAAGATCGAACTCACTACTCAGTCGTAACTATCTTAGCGAGACAAGCTTGCTAAACATTACACATAAGCAAAACATAAGCTTTCTAACTATTACATCACGCCGATGTGCCCAAATGATTTTCTAAGCTTAGCTTACATGCGGTACAAGGTCGAAAGTATGGGGGACCCAGTGAGGATCGAACTCATTATTCAGTCGTAACTATCTTAGCGAGACAAGCTTGCTAAACATTACACCAAGTCAAGGTGCCCTAAATGATATTCTAAGCGTAGCTTAGACGTGGCACACCGCCCAAAGTGTGGAGCACCCAGTGAGGATCGAACTCACCATTCAATCGTAACGTTTTTTAGCGAGACAAGTTTGCTAACCATTACACCACGCCCAGGTGGCCTAAATAGAGATTTTCCAAGCGTAGCTCAGATGTGGTACAAGGCCGAATGTATAGGGCACAGAGTGAGGATCGAACTCACAACTCAATCTTAATTGTTCTAGCAAGACAAGCTTGTTAACCATTACACCACCTCGAGATGCCCCACTTGCAATAAGATAATTTCAGAATTTACCACTGGTTTTTATGAAGGTTTATTCGTCGAATGTCTTTATCAACAATTCAGGCTTATTTTTATACACCGACAGACTTAAAATCCGATTTTCTTAGAGCAACTTAGTAAGAATCGAAATCACTACTCAGTCGTAACTAACCACGCGGTCTATGCTTGCTAAGCATTAGACAACGTCGAAGTGTTACGGATATCACTCAATATATAATTGCATATTTTCGTCGTTTCCATTTTGCATATTCCTAAAATGAATGCTAGTAATGGTGAAAAGTTCTCAGTATAAGGCAGAAGAATGTTCCAAAATCTTGAAACCTGTCCGCTAATCAGCTTATTCGAGTCGCAGATACAATACACTTTGGTCCGAATTTTTTCTCAAATATACGAAAAAAAAAAGGTCATGGGTATGAAAATAAACTACATCTACGTCCTGGGTAAGACGATAAACTAAATCTGACAGCAAGGCCTTTAATCATGAGTTTTTGAGGAGCATGGTATCATCTCTTAATTGCTGATGTTCCCAGGTCCGCCCTGAACTGGGGTAATAGTACCTGTCAGGAGTTCAGCAATGGGCGAATAATTAACCACCCAAAAGGGGTCAAAACATTATGAAAGTGTAAAAATAGATTTTAATACCAACAATACTTTTTATTACCAGCAGTAAATTTTTGTAAAAAATATGTACCAACAATACATTTTTTATTACCAGCAGTAAATTTTTGGAAAAAAATATTTACGAACAATACATTTTTTATTACCAGCAGTAAACTTTTGTAAAAAATATTTAACAACAATACATTTTTAGTAAAATACTGGAAAAAATATACTATCAATAAAAAACTTGTAAAACGAAATAAACCCCAAACTTTATCTATAAAATGATCTCTTTTATAAAGAATACATATTCTATTCATACGAATCTATCCTAAAAATTATGTTGGCATTAAATAACCAACTGAGGTTGATATGTCGTAAAACGAAATAAACGCAAAACCTTGTCTACAGAATAATCTCTTACAGAGAATACATATTCTATTTATACGAACCTATCCTAAAAATCTCGTCGGCATTAAATAAAACGATAAACTACATCTGACAGCAAGGCCTTTATTCAGGGCTTTGTGAGGAGCATAGAATCACCTCTTAATTGCTGATGTTCCAAAGTCCACCTGACCTGGCGTGGTAGTACCTGTCAGGGTCCGAGCTATGGGCAAATAATTAACCATCCAAAACGGGTCAAAACACTATGAAAGTGTAAAAATAGATTTTAATACCAGCAACACTTGTTTGAGAAACTATTGCCAGCAGTAAATTTTTGGAAGAAAAAATTATTGCCAACAATACATTTTTAGCAAAATATTACCAACAATACATTTTTGGAAAAAAATATTACCATCAATAAAAAATCAAAAAGCGAAATAAATGCCAAACCTTATCTACAAAATGATCTCTTATAAAGAATATGTTCTCTATTCATACGAACCTATCCTAAAAATCTTGTCGGCATTAAATAAACCATTGAGGTTGATAAGTCGTAAAATGAAATAAACTCAAAACCTTATCTACAAAATTATCTCTTACAGAGACTACATATTCTATTTATACGAACTTATCCTAAAAAAATTGTCGGCGTTGAATAACCCATTAAGGTGTTGATATGTAGTAAAACAAAACATACCTAACTAAACCAAAGAAAAAAAAAAGGAAGTGGGTGAGACTGATAATTTACAGCACCCCCTTTCTAATTTAACCAGACGTTGCCGTTTGTACAGAGATAAAACTTTTATAGTTCTCGCCAAGATTTCTTCTTTAATTTCGCTGATGCCTTCAAATTAGTCCATTAGAGATTGACTAAATTTTCTTTTCCAATGTTTAAAGCCTTCTTAATGGACTCGCAATGATAACAAAAATATCGTTAAAAGAAAGCAATTGCAAAATCGGTTATAAAATTGATTAGATAAATTATTAATTTTATAGATAATTAATCTAATTATGATTGTGAACTTCTTTTCAATTAGTGTTTCTTGCGTCTGTCCATTATGATTCGGAATATTTTCCTATAAATAGACAAATGTGTTAGCTGCACATCTAGAAAAGGGCCTATATACTTTGGATGATTTTACCTGCGACCCGTACTGTTAAATCACCGTCATTTTTGTGACAAAATCAACATAATTTCGTTCCATTTTTTCAGGTTGGGGAGAAGACAAAACAATTTCTTTGTAGACATCTGGTGTTTTTTGTTTTCTTTAATAGAAAAATTTCAAAGAGTCAAACGGACTTGGGGAGGAAGTGTGTTGTACCGAAACTGCTCTAACACTGAGCTTGAAGCGGGCAAGCGAATGCTAATACAGCCCGAATCTGGGGCCATAGTTTTACACCAAGTTGGAAAACGCTCATGCTGCCTGGCGAAGTGCAGTCATGTCCCAACGGCCAGACATTCCAATTCGCGCTTTTGGGCACTTCGACATCGTGTAATGTTTACCAAATTTGTTTCGCTGTATCAATTACAACTGGGTAGTGAGTTAGATCCTCACTGGGTGCTCCAGACAATTGGCCTTGTACCACCATCACCATACCAAATCGCAGTCGAACAGTCATAAGTCGCTTAGTTCGTAAGTCGACGACGCCCTATATTTGATAAAATTCCTTCATGTTTTCAGACTGTTTATGAAAGAGGAAATCAAAATTTAAAAACTTTTTATTTTAGACCATGTTATGTAAGAAACCAAAAGTCCATTTTGGCAAAATTAGATCTATCTCTTTTGTTTTCTATGCAACTTCGACAAATACATTCTCCAGCCTTCTCAAAGTCTAGTTTTTAAACTCCTATATGTTTGAAGTATTGTTTTTTTTTATCCTCTCTATGTGAATACTTTCATATTTTTCTTTTAATTGGACAGAGGTGCTCATCTTGTCCTTTGTAGCGATGAGTAAAGTTTGTCACATTACTATTCATCGCTGTCTATATTCTGCTATCTATTTACAGTAGCTAAATCCTTAGGTGACTCTGTTTTTTTCCCGCTGGCCTCCAATATGTCCAGTGAATATCATCTTCTCTAAGCCCTTTTTTCTCATTAGTTGCCCTAAAGATTTCAATTGACTCTTTTTGATTCTAAGTGTAAGTGTCATTTTCGTTCCCTTTTTTCTTTAAAATTCCCAGTTGCACACCTGCAATGTCTATAGTATTCTCAGCATCCTCCTGTACAGTCCTGTCTATATTGTCTCAAATATCATATTTACCTGTAAGGAAAATGTTCAGCATTCACTACCATATAGGTGGATTCGTATTAAATAATAATCGATCACCTTCATCTTTATTTCCAACACAATTTATGACTTTATGGATATTTATTGATTTATATTGGCTTACGAACACATCGCCTTTAAACACCAGTTCCTGTACGATCACCGAAGTTAAACAACGTCGGGCATGATCAGTACCTTGATGGGCGACTGCTTTGCAATACCAGGTGTTGTAAGATTGAATAATCCGGTGGCGTAATGGATAATGATTCGGTATTGTTAATCGGAGAGCCGAGTTCTAATTCTCCTTGTGTTCGTTATATTTACTTATGCTAAGATACCATTGGGAAAGGCATGAATCCACAATTTCTCTCCCGGCTATGGGTTAATTATCAGGACTTGTGTCACCAAACAATTATTATCTCAAAAATTAAACCTTACAAACTGGCTTTAAATATCCTACAAAGTGTTGATGATCTGTTGAAAACGAATCAATCATTTGATTGATTTACCGTATATACTCGCGTGTCATGTGATTTTGAAGACCTAATTTTGAAGTTAATTTTAACGGGGTCGCATAATACACGAGATGTAATATTGGGGTATATACTTCTAACCCTGGCTAAGCCCTTGACTAAACCATTTATCCATTTACTGGTGTCTGTACATTATTATTAGGAAGATATTCCTGTAAATAGACAAATGATAGTGCACAACGGAAAAAGGGCCTTTATACCTTGGATGGTTTAATCTGCAACTCGTACTGTTAAATTACTGTCATTTGTTTGTGACAAGAACAACATAATTTCGTTCCATTTTTCAGGTTGGAGAGAAGACCAAACAATTTCTTTGTAGACATCTTTGTATTTTTTGTTTTCTTATTAGAAAAAATTCAAAAGAGTCGAACGGTTTCGATGAGGAAGTGTGTTGTACCGAGGCTGCCCTAACACTGAGCTTGAAGTGCGGGAGTGAATGCTAATACAGCCCGGATCTAGGGTCATAGTTGTACACCAAGTGTGAAAACGCTCATGCTGCCTGGCGAACAGTAGTCGTGTCGCAACGGCCAGAAATTCCAATTTTACCTGCAACTCGTACTGTTAAATCACTGTCATTTTTGTTTGACAAGATCGACATAATTTCGTTCCATTTTGTCAGGTTGGGGAGTAGACAAAACAATTTCTTCTTTGTAGATTTCTTGGCGTTTTTTTTTTATTTCTTTGTTTCCCATTTTAGAAAAAAATCAAGAAGGAAAACGGACTCGGTGAGAAAGTATATTGTACCGAGAGTGCTCTAAAACTGAACTTGAAGCGCGCGAGCAAATGCAAGTACAGCCTGGATCTATAGCCATAGTTGTCGTTTAATTAGCTTCAAAATTATGTCTTCAGAATTCACACGATTCTCAGTTGTATACAGTATATGGGAAGGATATTTGATTAATCAGTAAACATTTCTGGAATCAAGGAGTCCACATATGGATAGAAAATGATCTCAGTGTATACACACAGAAAAATCGAAAGAGGCATTTCATATAGGTGAATTTACACTATTAATTTATTCACAACTATATATTGAAAAATATTATGAGAAACAGAAGATCTACCAACATTTATCAACGCCAGATGTAGCTTTTAGAATTCGTCTGCTTAGGATTTTGATGTTAACCGAATTTCGGGATTCCAAACATTTAACAACAAAAGCACATCTGTTAAATGAAACGTAGAAAAGATTATTTTTTCTTGTAGGAAAAATAGAAGCAGAACGTAAGTTGAAATAACATTTAGATATTTAGATATACGATTTTGAAACATGCAGTAAAATGTTCAATTTTCCTTGTATTTTGTTTTAGAATAATTAATTTCTCGTAGGATTGATGCTAGATCAGCAATTCAAGAAATGTATTCTGGGATACTACCAACTATATGAAAGAATTCTGGTAGTCAAGCTGAAAGGAAAGCCTTTCAAAGTAGCTATCATAATAGTGTATGCAACGGCAGCGCAATGTAAGGAAGAAGAACTCAAATCATTCTACCCCATGCTAGACAAATCCAGAGACTCTTTGCAAGCGGTCATGATTATCTTGAGAGACCTGAACGCTAAAGTAGGCGGGAAGCGGGCAAGGGATATAGCCGGAAAATTCGGACTACCAGAAACCCGCAACGAACGTGGAGAAAAATGGGTCCAATGGTTCACGGCCAATGACCAGTTAATAGCAAACACATGGTTCCAAGTACACCCGAGACGATTATGGACATAGAGGAGCCTAGGAGAAGCTAAAAAAGACAAAAAAACAAAACAAATTGACTACGAAACTATGAAGTAAAGATTCAGGAATGAAACGATTGACTGCATAACCTACGCAAGTGCCGACTGCGGAAGCAATCATCGCTCTGTTAAACTAAGAGTGAAACCACGAAGACCGAAGAAGCATTAAGTAGCACCTAAATTGCAACACTACAGACTCCTGAGCGACCCTTACCTGAAAGAAAAAAGATGTATGGAGAATGTGAACAGAAGATACGAGGGACACAATGGAAACTCGAAATGGGACGCACTAAGAGAAGATTTAGTGGCATCAGCAAAGGAAATAATCCCAAAGGGGAATGGCCGAAGGAAACGAATGGATGACTGATGACATTCTCGACATGATGCAAAGGAGACAGAAAATCCTGCCAATATACGGAACGAAATACAGAAAACTAGACAATGAAATAAGGATCAAATGCAGGCATTCTAAAGAAAATTGTCTAAACAAATAATGTGCATATATAGAGATAATGAGTACCACCAACAAAGGAAATATGCATAAACAAATAAGGGAACTAACAAGACAGAAGACGTGCTCGTCAACAGGCTAGCTAAAATACAAGGACGGAACGCTCAAATTAGAGAAGGAAAAAAATTCAGCGCTGGAGCGAATATATTGGAGGATTCTTCCATGACGAAAGAGAACAACCAGCAATACACAGAACTATAGACGGGATTGAAATTCTAAAAAAAAGAAGCAGAAGCTGCACTGGCGAAATTGAATAGAAACAAAGCGGCAGGGCCAGATGGAATTCTAGCAGACATGCTGATGGGCTTAGATTATGTTGGCATAGACAAGATCACAGAAATAATAAATGAAATCTACAATAGTGAGAATGTACGGGAAGATATCAGCAAATCTATTTTCATAGCACTGGCTAAGATACCAGGCGCAAAAGAATGTGAACTCCACCGAACAATCAGCCAAATGAGCCACGTAACAAAACACATCATCTGTATTCTGCTGAATAGAGCGCGCAGGAGAATCAGACCAGAGATAGGACATGAACGGTCCGGGTTCGTTAAAGACACTGGAACAAGGAACGCGATATTCATGCGCAGAATGTTATCAGAAAGACCAAAACAAATGCAGAAGGACGTTTTATAGACTACGCAAAGCCATTCTACAAAGTACACCACAAAGATCTGTTGGAACTGCTCAGCAATCTTGATATATTTTGGAAAGATATTAGAATAATCAAAAACCTATACTGGCATCAAACAGCCTGCGTGCAGACAGAGAATTAGTTCAGTAAATATATAAAAACAGAAAAGAGCGTAAGGCAAGTATGTCTTCTCACCGGACTTATTTAACATAAACAGCGAGGCAACAGTCTTAACAACAGAAAATACGCTAATGACACAGTGCTGATAGCAGACACGGAAAAGAAACTACAAAACCTTCTACAGAAGGTAGCGAAGGAAAGCGAGTAAGAGAGACTAAGCATGAACAAAGATAGAATGCATGGTAAATGAAAGATCCCGAAATGCGATTTACATATCGGGGACCCTAAATTCAAGCAGGTGCTGAAATTTATGTATCTGGGAAATGTTCTGAGAGAAGACGGTATGTGCGACGCCAAGATCCGAAGACGAATTGGGATGGCCAAGGACGTATTCCAAAAGCTAGGGAGAGTCTTACGAGACAGGAGGATTTCTTTGGTAACAAAGAAAATAGTACTGGGTTAGTACGTGGCACCTGTCCTCCTTTACGGCAGCGAATGTTGGACGGTAAGTGCGACGCTGAGATCTGAAGACGTATTGGGATGGCCAAAGACGCATTCCAAAAGCTAGGGAGAGTATTATGAGACAGAAGGATTTCGTTCATAACAAAAAATAAAAATAAAAATAACGTACTGAATTGCTACGTAATATCTGTCCTGTTTTACGGGAGCGAATGTTGGATGGTCTACTCAAAGATGAAGAAGTGACTCGAGGCAACAGTACTAAGGATATCATGGACTGAGCGCGAGAGCAACGATGAGGCTGTGGAGAGGATGCAAATAAGAAGGAAGCTTATACTTAGCATCAAGAAGAGGTAGCATAAATTTCTGGGGCACGTAACTGGAAAAGAGGGCCTGCAGAATCTGATAAGCACAGGGCGAATAGAGAGAATGAGAGATAAGGGAAAGCAACGCGTGACATGCCTAGCGGGCTTAAACAATTGGTTGACAGAACAGGGACTGAGAGAAGTAGCAAAGTGACTAAACTTACTGAGAGTTATAAGGGACAGAGGGAAGTGGAGAGCCCTGTTCACCTACGTCCCAAAATGATACGGTATATAAAAGAATAAGAGCGCTGGGAAATATGTGGACAGACTTAATTTATGACGGTCAGGCTAATGTTTCTCTCAGTGCGTGGACAATGCGTTAGTCGGCGGCTGCTGCCTCATTTTTTTCATTGTATGCGTGTGTGTGGGTGCGTGTGTACGCACGTATAGACCAAACAGACCTCCAAAATTGTTTCGATTCCCGAGAAGCAGTAGTCTTCTATTTTTGTATCCGTCAGAATGATCTAACATCTAATTACACATAGATGTGTGAACTTTTTGAATACAAGATATTCATTAGGTAGAAAATTATTTCTCATTGGCTCGCAAAAATCTTCTCAAATATTTGAGAGTAGTGAAATGAATTATTATTGTTATTTTCTAAATGGTCCAAAAATAACACTAGGTAGGTCTACAACTACGTCTACAAGTATTATGCTAGTATTTGACTTAGTAATTATTGTTTATTAGACAAGCCTGCCGATAGAATTTTATTGGTTGAAAAATGTATATAAAATGCATTTTCGATATAATCATAGAAGCACGAGATACTTGATAATGATGTCAGATCCAAAAAGGAAACTGAAAGTACTCTAAGACAGTAGTAATGATATTGATTGACTGATTGAATTTTTTACGGTTTATCAGCCTTTTGAGGGTATT